TCGGCAAACGTGCGGCTCTTGCTTGGAGGCCTCCCGCTCCCGCGAGGTCCGGGGCACAAAGCCGAGGTCTCGCGGGCTCGGGGGGAGGCGGACGCCCCACCTCCCGCCCGGAGGCAGTCCTGTGCTGCCTGTTGAATTGCTACAAGAGCAGGCCTACGACGGACTGAAATGCATTTTAGAACAAGTACGCTTAGCTTGTGGCTGAATTAAACAGAGCCCTAGAAACCGCTTAATTGACAATTACCGCCTGAGAGGCTGAATTAGTGGAGTGGCGCTCGCTTCTTAACCCCCTGCAGGATCCACAGCGGGCAGGACTCCAGCCAGGGAGCCGCCGAAGCCCTCCTCCGTGTGTGTGTGTGTGTGTGTGTGTGTGTGTGTGTGAATGCCCTCCTCCGTGTGTGTGTGTGTGTGTGTGTGAATGCCCTCCTCCGTGTGTGTGTGAGAAAGCCCTCCTCCGTGTGTGTGTGTGTGAACGCCCTCCTCCGTGTGTGTGTGTGAATGCCCTCCTCCATATGTGTGTGTGTGTGAACGCCCTCCTCCGTGTGTGTGTGTGTGAATGCCCTCCTCCGTGTGTGTGTGTGAACGCCCTCCTCCGTGTGTGTGTGTGTGAATGCCCTCCTCCGTGTGTGTGTGTGTGAACGCCCTCCTCCGTGTGTGTGTGTGAACGCCCTCCTCCATGAGTGTGAGTGTGTGTGTGTGTGTGTGTGAACGCCCTCCTCCGTGTGTGTGTGAGAAAGCCCTCCTCTGCGTGTGTGTGTGTGTGTGTGTGTGTGCGCGCCTGGTGCTGGAGAAGCTCTCCCGCATACAGAGAGACGTGGGGGTCTGGGCAGCCTGGGGAGGGGTCACGATGACGTTGCTCACCAGGGACATGACGAGATTAGTTGGAACGCTGCAAGCTCCTTTGAAAATGTTCTAGCTTATAATTTCCTTTTCGTAATGAAGAGAGGCTGCTCACTCCGCACGCGGCCCCTTCCTTCCTGGGGATCATTGCTCCAGAGGGAAGCTGCTCCCCTGTGTCACGACGCGCAGCTTTGAGTGCGTCCTGGCGGAGCAGCGGGCTTGGGTCCCAGTGACCTTTTGTGTCGTCCTGGACCAAACTGCAGACGGCTGGAACACAAGGTGACCGCGGTCTCTGAGCTGCCTGGCAGCTGGCCTGCCGCCAGCTGAGAGGCCGGCCCATGGGCCCGGGCGGCTCCCTGCCGAGCCAGGAGGTCAGGGCCCGGGCGGCTGCTGCTCCCTGGCCTCGGCTCCTGCTCGCTGGAGCGCCCGCGGCCTCAGGCAGCCTTCTGATCTGCTGTCCGGCTCTCATGCCCCAGGGGTGCGTCTGGGGGGTGCACACCACGCGACAGGGGCAACGGGGGTGGGGGTTGAGGGCCCAGTGTGGGCAGGTTCCACTCCTGGCCCCTCTCCCCAGCTTTTGCGAGGTGTCGCAGACCTGGCTTCCATGCAGGCCTCCTGCCGTGTGTGTGTGTGTGTGTGTGTGTGTGTGTGTGTTGGAGAGAGCCCCCTTCCCGGGGACACCAGCAGCCACCCTGGAGCAGGGCGCACCCGCGGCAGCAGGGCCTGGTCTTGACGGAAGACCCCTGTGGGATCCAGGGTTCCCGACAGAGTCGCTCACATTCTGGGGTGGGGGCCTTAGGCCTCGCACACACAAATCGGGTGTGAGCACACACGCGTCGGTCCACCACAAGGCCCACCTGCCTTTTTGCCAAAGTGAATTTGGCTTTGGGCTCCCTGGAGAGGGGCCATCGCTGGGCAGGCGGCTGCTGCCCCAGAGTGACCCTCTGCTCCAGCTCACCTCGGGAAGCGGAACCACCCGGAATAGAGTGCCAGGTTCCTTGGGAGTGTCCCTGGTGGAGGCCAGTGTGTCTCGATGCCTCGAGCGCTGGACCCCTGGGGTGCAGCCTCAGGCTCCTGCCCCCCCCCCCCGGCCTATGGCGAAGCCGAGTGCGGGAGAGGACCCCCCACTGGTTGTAGGGGAGCCGCTCTGGGAGGTGGCCAGGGCGGTCACCTCGCCTGGGGCCCGGCTGCCGTGACTCTGGGGCCAACCCCTCCATCCATGGCCCCTGCTGCTGCACCTGGGGCTCTTGCGGCCCCTCCCACGTCTGCTGCCCCCGGGGTGTGGTTCATCAGAGCCCCACTTTCTTTCTGTTTGATTTTCTTGGCATTCAGTGGACGTTCGCACCCCGGCGTGCCTGACTTCTTAGGACTTATATTTATTTATTTATAAAGATTTGTTTATTTATTTGAAAGACAGAGAGGCAGAGGCAGAAGCAGAGAGAGAGAGAGAGAGAGCGAGAGAGAGAGAGAGGTCTTCTATCCGCTGGTTCACTCCCCATTGGCCGCAATGACTGAAGCTGTGCCGATCCGAAGCCAGGAGCCAGGGGCTTCTCCTGGGTCTCCCACGTGGGTGCAGGGGACCAAGCACTTGGGTCATCTTCCACTGCTCTCCCAGGCCACAGCAGAGAGCTGGATTGGAAGTGGAGCAGCCGGGACTGGAACCGGCGCCCATATGGAATGCCGGCGCTGCAGGCGACAGCCTTACCTGCCACACCACAGCGCCGGCTCTCTTGGGCCTGTTATTTACATCTTTGCCCTCTTAGGTAAAGAGAGAGTCATCGTTTCTTTCCGAGAAAATCGCTCCTTCTTTTCTGCATTGCTCGTCTTTTCTAAAAAAAGCAGGCGTCACGAGCCGGGGCCCAGCTGCTCCTGCACGGATCTTTCTCTTTGCAAGCTGTCTCCCCAGAGTGCTGTGTCCAGGCCGCTCGCCCGCTGCAGTCGGCGCCCAGGAGAGGCCAGGCCTCGGGCAGCCAGGCGGGAAGATGGCACTCTGGTGGCTGCCTGCCTTTGAAAAGCTGCCGTGGCTTCCAGTCTTGACGCAAAGCCCCGCAGAGCGCGGTGAGACCCAGAGCCCTGGCCTTGCACAGCCTCGTCTCCCTCTGGAGGCTGCTCCCCTTCTCCTGCACCGGGGCTGGGTGCCGCTGGCTCCGTTCCCTCCTGCCACACTGGCGGAGCTTAAAAGGAGCCGGGAGCCTGAGCCATATTCACAGCCCCTCCTGCCGTGCCCCGCCAGGCCAGCGCCTCTGTGCTTGCGGATGGTTGACCCTGTAAATCTTCTACCCCAGGGCCTCCCAGACTGGGGGTCCTTGCGGCTCTGCGGGTGCAGCCAGGCCAGGCCCAGAGGCCCCTGCAAAGCTGTGTTCTCCATGTTTGTCCTTGGGAGGAAGGACCCGTATTTATGGTCTCCCCTTCTCGGCACTCCTGTGGAATGTTCTAGAACGGGAGGTCTGTCGGTAGTCGGGGGTGTCTCCTCTCCTTCCACATCTCCCGACAGGCTGCGTTCCTGACTCCGCAGCGCGGTCTCTGAGGAGCAGTTTCTGTGGCTTCCTCGCGGGAGGCCGTCTCGCTTTGCCTGCCGCTGACCACAGCTCCCCCTGCCCACCCTGTGCCCCCGACTCCCTCATAATGGGGACCATGCTGGGGGCCCCTCCCCCACACCCTCCACTCAGGGCACGTCCACCCTGAAGACGAACAACACTGCTCTCATTTTTATTCTTTTTCTTTTCTTTTTCAGATTTTATTTATTTGAGAGTCAGAGAGAGGCAGAGGCAGGGGGGCGGGGTCTTCCATCCGCTGGTTCTCTCCCCAATTGGTCGCAATCCAAAGCCAGGAGCTTCCTCTGGGTCCCCGACATGGATGCAGGGGCCCAAGCACTTGGCCCATCTTCCACTGCTTTCCCAGGCCACAGCAGAGAGCTGGATCGGACGAGGGGCAGCCGGGACATGAACCTGTGTCCCTACGGGATGGCGGCACTCCAGGCAGCGTTAACCCACAACGCTGGCCCCTGTCATTTGAATTCTAGGTGGAATTCATCCTTGTCCTTCGTGGCCTCATTGTGTGGAAGAACCAGCTGACGCCCGAGGTGGCACGGAGCAAAGCCCTCCGTCAGCCTCCCGTCCCCCTTTCTGCTGTGACGTGTGACGTGTGACGTGTGACGTATGACATGTGACGTGTCTGGGCTAAGCTGGGCTTCTCTTTGCTGATGAGCTGGATTTTCAGTGACTTTACAAAGATGGGAAATAGTGACTTTTGGAAGCAGCCATCTTCTGTGTTTTCCTATGTTTTTGGCTATGGAAAAGCGCAACATTAGACTGTGCGAGACGCCAGGCGGCTTCCCCAGAGGGCCCCGGGCGCTCCGGGGTCAGCACGGGCATGAGCCTGTGTCCACCTGCACACGGCTTATCCCCGGACAGAAGTGGAGTCGGAGGGAGGGCAGGGGCCCTCTCCTCCCAGCCCCCTCCTGACAGCGAGAGAGGGCAAGGCCCCCTCCCCCTTGCTTGCTCCCATCAGGCCGTCCAGGACTGCCCTGGCTGTGGCCTGGGCCCCTGGGGAATGGGATGCGGAGTAGGGAGGTGTGCTTCCGACCAGTGCTTCCCCTGTGCCGTGGGGCTGCACGGCTGCCGGTCCCGGGCCTCCCGGCCCCCGGGGTCCCACTGGGCAGGGGCAGTATCGGCCTCTTCTCCCGGGCGTCCTCCAGTGCCTGGGTCTGGGCGGGCAGCTGCTTCGCTCCTTGGTCAGCAGCAGCTCCACCGCACGGGGGGGTGGGGGTGTCAGATATTAGCGCGGAGAAGGCGGCTCTGCTGCGTCCAGCTGTCTCTGTGTCCCCTCTCCAGGGGTGGGGAGTCGGGAGGGGGCGGGGGAAGGGGCTGAACCTGCAGCCCCGGCTGGCTCCCCCCTTCCCAGTCCTTGGTTGCTATGGGGTTTCTATGGCAGCAGCATCCTCAGACTCAACTTTCACCCCTCGTTTAGAGCCAATTAAGGTAAAATAGTGAGGGGGAGGAGAGAGCGTGGCAGGGGCGGGCGGGGGCTGGGGAGAGACTCCGGATTCCAGGCCGCGCGCTCGCGCTCCCCAGAGTCGCAGTACGGCTGGGAGCTCCCAGGAGCTGCAGCGGCTGCTCTGCCTTCCCCGCCCAGCCGGAGCCAGAGACGAGCCGCTGTGCTGAGCCGCCGCCGCGGCCGGGATCTCCGCCAGGGGCCGTCCGGAAGCCCCCGGGGTCCTGCCCACCGGGAGCCCCCCAGCGTGGCGCCTGGCCCTCGCTGAGCCCCGGCTCCTGCCGCCCTGCCGGGACCCTGTGCTGCCCCTGCTGCTCTGGTTTCCTGCTGTCATCGCTCCATCGGAGGGAAGGAAAGTTTTAAAAAATGCCGATCGCACAGTTGCTGGAGCTATGGAAGAAGATAGAGGTGGAGCCCATGGAGACGGAGGTGAGTGTGGGGAGGAGAGGATGCACTTTCTCGCGGTCTCCAAGCCCTCTGCGTGGCAGGTGGACCGAGCGGCCTGCGTGTGGCGGGGACCTGGGTGGCTGTGCTGGCAGGTCAGGGTGGGCGCAGCGACATGGGCAGGGAGAGACAGGGACAGGGAGAGACGACAGTTGCTGCCCTCAGGGAACTTCAGGCTGCACCCTGGAGTGTGTGTGTGTGTGTGTGTGCGCGTGCGTGTGTGTGTGTGAGAGAGAGACAGAGAGAGAGACGGAGGGCGAGTGTCCGTGTGCACCCTCAACAAGTGGCTCCCGGCAGGACCCGGCCTGCTGCAGTGCAGGACGGGGCAGAGCAGATGGTGGTGGCTCTCGGCAGGGAGCCGAGGGCACACAGGGGCAGATTGGGAGGAGAGCTCGGGGTGACGAGAGAGAGAGAGAGAGAGAGAGAGAGAGAGGGACGAGGTGAGGCAACAGCCGTGTCCTTGCCCAGCCCCAGGGCGGGCTGGGGTGCCTCGGCCGTCGCACCTCCCTGGGGAGATGGCTCTGCTCCCGGAGTTTGGTTTGCTCCGTCTGAATTCCACACGGCCAGCACCCATGTTTCCTGGGAGAGAGTCCCCCACGGTGGACACCGGCATCATTAGATGCACCGTGTTCTTTATCACGGCTCGTGTTGTGTGGTGACTGATTTTAAGAACTTACTAAACCTTCATCACATCCAAGCCTTCACCCGAGCCGCATCCCCCCACTCAGCGCCACGTCTGCCAACTCGTTCCTGGCAAGGTTGAATTCTGTTTATACGGATACGCCGTGTGCGCCTCGAGGCACGCACGGAACAGCTTCCCAGGGAGCCAGCGATTCTGTGTTACCAGGACATTCCTTCTGATTTTATGGCTAACACTTTCCTGGGCAGCCAGGCAAACTGAGAGGTGCTGGCATGCGTCAGGTCAGAAGCCACCGGCGAGCCTGGCCCGGGTGTGCGGCCGCCGTCTCAGAACGCACTGGTCCCCGCTGCCTCTGGCCGGCAGCCCAGGTCGGGTAGGCGACAGGAGGCTGCCGGGTGCCGTGAGCTGTCCCTGGTGCTGGACAGAGCCCTCTGGTGCCAGGGGTTGCCAGTGCAAGGCTGCTTTCTCTCCTAGGAGAGAGTTGTTGAATGAATGGACGCGCGAGCAGTGAAGCTGGAAGCCCGTTTTCCTCACTGGCGGCTCTCTAAACATCCCAGCCGCGCTGTGCGTCCTGCCCAGGCAGGGAGGGCTCATTCAGCAGCCGAGCGCCGGCCCTGCTGGGACGCGGGCCTCCCGTGGCCGCCGTGACACAGCTGCACGCGCAGGGACAGCTTGTGCTTGAAGTGCCTCTGAAACCAGCTGCCGGCGGCTGGCAACACACGCGTCCAGGCTGCTCTGAAGACAAGTCGTGACCCTGCAAGCACTGTAGGTGCAAAGGGCCTGTGGTAGAGTAGGCAGGGCTGTGTCCCCCACCCCCCAGCCCCAGTCAGGGGTGCACAAAGATGTGAGCCCTGTGTTCTGGAACTCAGAGCCGACAGTGGACTCCAATACCAGGGCAGGCGTTCGGCACGGCAGCTAAGACGCCTCTTGAGATGGACGCACGCCTGGGTTCAAGTCCCAGCTCTGCTTCGATCCTGGCTCCCTCCCAACACAGTGCCTGGGGCCTGTCACCCCTGTGGGAGGTTCAGGCTGCGTTCCTGTCTCCTGGCTGCTGTGGGCGCTTAGGGAAAGAACCAGCAGGTGGGACACTGCTCTGTGCCTATCTCTGTCTTTCTGCCTTTCAAGTAAATAAAAGTAAATAAAAGCCTTTTAAAGAAGCCAGCATCGTGGCCCAGCAGAGGAAGCCACCGCTAGGACCCCAGCAGCCATACGGAGCAGCAGCTGCAGTCCCGGCTGCTCCACTTCCCGTCCAGCTCCTGCTGTGGCCTGGGGAAGCAGCAGAGGATGCCCACGTGCTTGGGCCCCTGCACCCGCGTGGGAGACCCGGATGGGGCTCCTGGCGTCAGCCTGGCCCAGACACGGCTGTGGCAGCCATTTGGGGAGTGAACCAGCGGATGGAAGAGTCTGTCTCCCCCTCCCTATCTCCACCTTGCATACAAACAAACACGGAAGCAGGCAGCCCGCGGGGTCCATTTGGCCTCTGAAAACAAACTAAATGTCACAGAAACCCGTTAAAGAGCACGCACGCCGTTCTCACCTGCTGTGAGGTTTTGGGGCTTGTAGTCATTTGTTTTCATTTAACACCACAGGGGCTTCCAGGGGGGAGTTGGCTCCCTGGGCTCTGGTTTCGCTCTCATGCCCTCTTCCCACTTTGCCCTCTGACCTCTCGTGCACCTGTGATCTGGGGGACCCGCTCACCGAGTGTCTGGGGGTGCCGGGCCTGTGATCTGGGGGACCCGCTCACCGAGTGTCTGGGGGTGCCGGGCCTGTGATCTGGGGGACCCGCTCACCGAGTGTCTGGGGGTGCCGGGCCGGAGGGCAGGTGCGCTCCCGGAAGAGGCGTCCCGGCGGCGGCCACGGGGCCGGGAGTGGCGGGGTTCTGAGTTGCTCTGGGATCGCCCCACGGAGAGGGGGAGCAGGCTGACGCAGAAGTGGGGCCTGGAGGCTGGGATGTGAATCGCGTTGGGTGGTGTGTGCGAGCTATGCTCTAGCTGGATCCCCCACCCCAGCAGGGCTGCTCCAGCCGGGGGGAGGGGGGGGCCGTGGGGGAGCCGCCTGCGGGCCCTGCTGACCCGGCTCCTCTGCGTCCTTTTGGAGGAGAACCCATGATTGTTCTTCCTGTGATGTCATCAGGCATTGGAGAAGGGAGAAGCCCTGTTTCCTACGCCGAGCCACTCCGACACCAGTGCCCGGTCGGTCCTGGTGGCCGTGAGAAGATGGAGCCGGGCGTAGCACTGGCAGCGGCCGCCGGCTCTGAGCCTGCATGGCGGAGCGTGTGCCGCCGGCGTCTCGCCGTGTTCTCCCCACGGGCCTGGGCGTAGGTGCCGGCGTGCCTTAGGTGGCAGACGGAGCCCTGGACCCCGTCTGCGGGAGCGCGGCTGTGTGTCCTCAGGGCCAGGCCGTGGCCGCGCTGAGGTAATTCCTTCTCCACTGAGCTGAGGCTCAGCAGTGGCCACGAGGGCCCTCACTGTCCCCCGTTCCTGTCCTGACCACGGCAGGCTTTGGGCGTCCCAGAAACCCACGTCCCCGCTGCATCAGGTCACCTCGCTGCCCTCTGCACCCGCGGGCAGCCCTCTGCACGCATCGCTGACCCGGCAGCTTGTAACTTTGGATGCGAAACTCCCTTGTTTGGGGCCTCTTTAAGAAGAGGTTACCAGGGGGTTGAGTTATCTATCTATCTATCTATCTATCTATCTATCTATCTATCTATCTGTCTTCACGTTATTTGAAAGGTAGGGATACAGACAGGAAGACGCAGAGAGATCTCCCGTCTGCTGGTTCAATCCCCAGATGCCCACAACAGCCAGGGCTGAGCCAGGCAGAAGCCGGGAACTGGGAACTCGGTCCAGGTCTCCCACGAGGGTGGCAGGTACCCAGCGACGGGAGCCATCGCCCGCCTCTCAGGATGCTGGGATTGGAAGCAAAGGAGCCGGGCCTCGAGGCCGGTGCTCTGGTGTGGGACGTGGGCATCCCCTGTGCCGACAGAACCACTGTGCCACACCTGCTCCGGCGGCCTGTGGTTCCGAGTCCACTCCGGTGCTGGGGCCAGAGGGCGGGCCCCGCCCCCGACCTGCCCTGAGTGTGCACTTAGTGTTCTGGGTGCTGATGCCTCTCGGGGGGCCGTGGACCCCCCCGGCGGTGCTAACTGTGTTACGTGTGTTTCTCTTGTCAGACCACGGAGGAGGACCTGGAGCTGGACCCGGAGCCCGCCACGGAGGACAGCGTGGAAGAAGTAACTATGGGGACCTCGTTAGCCGGGTGGGGGGCTGGCGCTGGAGAGGGTGGGGGAGTCAAAAATTTCCCGCAGGGGGAACAGCTTAGGAAATACACAGTGAGGGGTGTGGGTCGCCTGGCCCGCGGGCCATGTGGGGCTGAGAAGTCACGTGGTCTGGCCCTCCAAGGCAACCACAGGTGAGACTCATGAGGCTGGCAGCTGTGACCGGCTGGGAAGGCCTCATCCAAGGCCGTTCTGGGCTCTGTGAGGAGCCCCCTCCCTGCACGTGGGGCGCACGCAGGCCCCGACTCCAGCGGTGCCATTACTGGCTAAGGGAGGAAGAGCGGCTGGTGCTGGCTGCCTTTGGGTTCCGGCATTCTGGTGATGGCAGCTGGAGCACAGCCCCAGCTTCGCCCTGACCTTCTGCGTCCCTGCCGGGGCCCTGCAGCCGGAGCTCTGCCCTGGCTGGGTCCACACGGGTCAGAGCGTGGGCAGCATGTGAGCCAGCGAGTTTCCTGAACAGACGAGGGCTGGGTTTTTGTGTGCGGAGTAGCGGGGCAGAGGAGGAAGGCTCGAGGCGTCCACGAGAGCCAGCCACGCCGTGGCGCTGCCTGCAGTGCTGCCGGGCTTCTGTGGGAGCGCTGTTCCCAGGGAGCCCGTGATGTGCCTCTCGAAGGCAGATTAGCATGCGATTTGGCTGCTGGCTTCAGGTGCTGGCTTCAGGGGGCAGACGAGGGGCACAGAGCCAGCACCGGTGCAGCAGAACTGCTCGCTCTGCCGGGCAGGAGCCGGGCGGGCGCCGGGATTGTGCGCTGCAGTGCCGCAGTCTGGGCTCCGGTGACAAAACCCCGAGCAGGAGGCTCGTAAACAACGGGTGTGCTTCTCACACTCTTGGAGGCTGGAGTCCAGATGCAGGCGCTGGTAGACCAGGCGCCTGGTGCGTCCCTTGCTGTGTCCTCCGGTGGCGGAAGGGGCGAGGCAGCCTCTGGGGGCACAGCCATTCCCCGGGGACCCGGCTCCTCCCGCCGTTCCCCTGGGGGCTGGGGGTCCACGCAAGCATTCAGAGGCCCGCGGGTGCTCCAGCAGCTCACGGCAAGCTCACCTTCCGGCTCGTCGCCAGGGCTGGCGTCCTGGGCTCTCCTGGCCCCGGGCTCCCTCCCTGGCGTTTCTGATGGGACTCTGGGTGGGGAAGAATCGCAGGGGAGCAGTAGACACAGCTGAGCTCCCCGCGTTGTTCAGGAGGGCGGACGGAGGGGCAGGGAGCTCTCCGATCCTGACGGCGCCTTGTCTGCATGACGGGAATCAACAGATCTTTGGTTCTTAACGAAGGGAAGAAGCCAGCGGGCATAGCGCGGGGGTACTTGCAGCGCCGCGATACGGGTACTTGGATGCGTGCGTGGTGTCTGTGGGGTAACGAGGAGCATCCTGGGAAAGCCGTTTGTTCTCCTGATGCGCCGGACGGACGGACGGGCGGGCGGGCGATGCCGGAGGCCGGCGCGGCTTTCAGCACAGCCGCGGAGGATGGCGGTCAGGTTCTCCGTGCAGCTGTCGCGTTTCTGTTGCGGGAATCTTTTCCTTCACGTGTCCTCTGCCTTCCGAGGGGAGGTTGCGAGGGCTCTGAGCCGGAAGGAGCGGTGGCCGGGTCACAGGCCGTCAGCGGCCGCCGAGCTGTGTGCTGGGTCCTGCTTTTTGCCGTGTGATGGGGAGGATGATGGAAGGTTATCTTTCTCTGGAGGAAAGAAATCACTCAAACTGGTGGTTGTTTTCTCGTCCGTTCAGTCAAGGACACTGACTGATACCCCGTGGGCCACGCTCAAGGAGGCGGGGATGTGGCCAGGACAGCGTGCCGTGATCAGCCGCTCCCTTGGCTTTCCTGGGGAGTGCGTCTCACGCTTTGAAAGGTTTACTTATTAGAAAAGCAGAGTGACACAGAGAGAGACAGAGGGAGAGACGGAAGCTTCCATCCACTGGTTCGCTCCCCAAATGGCCGTCGTGGCCAGTTCTGGCCCAGGCCAAAGCCAGGAGCCAGGACATCCATCCTGGTCTCTGACGTGGGTGGCAGGGGCCCAAGCCCTCGGGCCATCTTCTGCTGCCTTCCCAGGCATGTTAGCCAGGAGCCGGGACATGGACCAGGGCTCTGACGTGTGATGCCTGGCCATACCCGCCCTCCTCACCCTTTGTTGAAGTCTGGCACACGTCTGGGCTATCTCAGGCACACGTCTGGGCTATCTCAGGCACACGTCTGGGGTATCTCAGGCACAAGCACCCCAGCGGTGACCCTCCTGCAAGTGCACCTCCTGTCTGGCTCTGTCCGGCCTCTGAGAAGTTCTGGAGCGGGGCTAGTGTGACCACTGGGCCTGAGACGGGCGGTCGGCCTCTGAGCCGCGGGTCAGCGCGACCCGGGCCTTCTCACCGCTGCTGACGGAAAGCCCCCCCCCGCAGGCGCCCTAACCCTAGCCCGCAGGCGGGGCCCAGGCTGACCTCACCCCACGCCCTGGAAGCTTCCTTCGTGTTCCGAGCCGCGCAGCGGGGGCCCTGGCAGGCGCCCAGGGAGTGCTGCTGTGGAGGACGTCGCTGGGGCCAGACCACAGCCTGGAAGGGCGATCGCGTGAGTGGACGGCCTCTTCTCACGTCTGTTTGGCCAAGTGGAGAGCTGGGGGGTGCGATGCCCCAGAGAGCTCGGGTTCAGGATGGAAATCACGTATCATGTGTGCCGCTTGGCCTGGGGTAAGCCCTGCGTGGCCACCATGCGGCCTCCCCCCAGGGTTCACCGAGCGACCTGACCAACGGCGCAGAGGGGGCTGGGCAGACCCCCAACCACACCTGGGGGTCTGGGCGGTGCTATGATGGGGAGAGCGGTCCTCGCTCGGCCAGCCAGGCAGGGCTCTGCGGAGGTGCTGGGCTGGGCGGGCAGGCTGGGGGCGTTGACCTGAGTTGTGATGGACAGGTGGTGTTAGCAGACCCCGTGCCAGGGGGCGGCCCAACCTGCCCCGCCCACCCGGAGGTGCAGATGAGCCTCCTCTCCACCCGACCCCTGGTCTGCGTGCTCCTCTGTGTTCCGGGACACGTTGATGATTTTTAGGCGCATTTTCACTGCACGGAAAAGCATACGTAGCGTTTTCCAAGGGCTCCCGTGTTGGGGTTCTGGGTGTTTTTAGAAGAAAGACCATCTTCCTACGTAGTCTGCCTTAGAAGATGAGGCCCAGAGAAACTGGCGAGGCCCAGCCTGCTTCCGCCTCCTTTCCCCGGGGCCACTGGCTGGACCCCTTCCGCGAGTGCCGCCCTCGTCTTCACAGCACAGCAGGAAGTTCTGTGGGGGGGGGAGAGGGCATGGCGCTCTCAGCCTTCATTCTCCAGGGGAGGGTGACGGGGACTCACATGCCAGCCTGGGCGTGCGGCCTCCTCTCGGGCAGCTCATCCTGCCAGCGTCATCCCTGCCATGACCCCTCTCTGAGTGCCCGACCCCTCGACTTCTGTGCTCAGGGAGGGAGCTCTGGTCGAGGAGGGGCCCCCCGAAGCCCAGGGAGGGCTTGCGGCAGGGAGCCAGCCCACCGGGGTCCTTGGCCCACGGCCTGGGCGCCAGCGCCCACAGTCTCCCACAGAGCAGCCCCCTCCCCCCTTAGGATCGGCACGGAGCCTCTCTGCTCCCCTTAAGGAAGCAAAGCAAAAACATCTCGAACGTCTGACAGGCGTGAGGCAGGATGACTCATGCAGCTTAGGAATTAATGGAGCAATTAGGAGCCGCGCAATCGCAGCTTCACAGAGTTCACCAAACCGCCCCCCAGCCCCGCGCGCCGCCTTGCGTGCGTCTGTCTTCTAGAGCCCGCTCACGTCTCCAAAGGCGGGTGTTACGTAAGCTGCCAGGCAGTGCCTACTCCTCTGCGCGTCTGTGTCTCACTGCTGCTCCCTGGCAGACACGATGCCTGGCTCGGGGGTGGTGTGTGCACACGCCGTGTGGACAGAGCCGTGGGCACCCCTCTGTGTGTAAGCGCACTCTGGGGAGGAAACCCTGACCCCGGTTTCCCGAGGCAGCAGCGCTCACTGGGGCAGCAATGCAGGCGAACACGCACGCTGTGTTGCGGCACCATTTGATGGGCAAGCGGCAATGACTCGCCAGGATTCACGAACGAGGAGCCGGCTCTGAGCCCTGGGCCGCCTCCGTCTCACGTGTCTGTCGCCCATCACGGCCCACTGCACTTAACACTCCCCAAACCCGCGTTTTTCTGCCTCTGTAACCAAGCCAGCGCCTCACCCCCTCTCCCCCAGCTCCTCTCTGAAAGGAGAGGATCAGGCAGCAGACACCAGCCGGGGACGTGAGCCCAGATCCCAGAGCCCCCAGTCCAGAGCCAGCCTCGCTCTGCAGGTCTCCTTGGGGCCGGGGGCCGGCGTGCGCCCCAGCAGAGGGCCTGAGTGGGCGGCTGTGCCGTGGTTTTTATAAAACCCCACATTCTGCAGGGAAGTGACGCTCATGCCCTCAGCCAAGAACCTTGCTCTGTGCTGCAACGTCTGCTGAACGCAAAGCCAAGCGCCACAACGCCGCAGGTGGGAGGGGGCCCTGAGGTCTGGTCTGGGGCGGATGCGGCTCCCGTGTGGGGGCCCTGTCCTGCTGCCTGCATGGGAAACACAACGGACAGACAGGGCCCCACCCTGAGGGCACACCGGGGCCTGGGGCATGGCTGTGACCCTCCCTCCGGTTTTTGGATGGAGATGACGTCATGAGATCAGCGCTGTGGCAGGTAAAGCCGCCGGCTGCAGTGCAGGCACCCCATATGGATGCCAGATAGAGTCCCAGCTGCTTCTCTTCCGACCCAGCTCTCTGCTGTGCCCTGGGAAAGCAGTAGAGGATGGCCCAGGTCCTTGGGCCCTGCACCCACGTGGGAGACCTGGAAGAAGCTCCTGCTCCTGGCTTCAGATTGGCACAGCTCTGGCCATTGCAGCCATCTGGGGAGTGAACCAGCAGATGGGAGACCTCTCTCTCTCTCTGCCTCTCTGTAACTCTGTCTTTTAAATAAATAAAC